TGAATAAAATATTTATATAAACAAGAGATACAAAAACAACTGGAGTAAAAAGGTGGTTTTAAAAAGTTTAAACGTCCTTTTATGTTTAGATGAAAGGTTATCAAAGTTCTGGTTTGATAGATTATAATTTGTTGAATGGTCTGTACAATAATGAGTGTGTTTTGGTATTAGAATAATTCAAGAAAAAATAAACAGTTCAAGTTTATATTTGAAATAGAGAAATATTGTTTACGACTTTAAGGTTTACGGAATTGTCGCTCTTTGATTTGTTTTCACTTGTTCGAAGAGAATATTCTAGTTGGGATAAATGGTTCTTAACAAGCTGTGTTTATGTTAATTGCAATAATTAACGTTGAGCTTGAAAGCGTATGAAAAAGATTCGTGTATTAAGTTGAATGTGGAAAACTTGAGTTGATTGTTCGTCATAAAATATTGCTGTGTGAATGAGTGTTCTCTCAGGCTGGAATCATGTTAAGGAACTTTAATGTAAAGCCTGGAACTGTGTGACGAGTTCAAAGGATTCCGATCGGCGCACTGTCGAAGATGAAAGACGTTTCATATTTTATTGCTAATTTTGGTCACGTGATTGGCAGAAGCTTAATAGATTTTGGCGGAATTATCTTTTTGGTCTGGTCAAGAACTAGGTCGATGTTATTAAATATTAAGTGACCAATTAGAAGTTGAGGTTTTCTGAAAATATTTATTAAGAAGCTGAATAAGCTCTGTGATCCACTTTTTATACAAAAATTGATGTTGATAAAAAAAAAAAAAATGTGGTAGCGGGATGCTAAACTATCACTTTAAACGTTATTTTTAGTGGATACCCATAATTAAGTAGATGCCCTGTTTACTTTAAACAGTATATTTATTTTCGTGTACCAGCCTGAATATTGTTAAAGAAAAATATTCGACCTTCGGCAGGATTCGAACCTGTTTATTTTAAACAGTATATTTATTTTCGTCTACCGGCCTGAATAGTCAAGAAATGATGGGGGATGACTCAGGTTCGAATCTGCCGGAGAGTGAATATTTATCTTTAATAATATTTAGGCGGATAGATGAAAATAAATATTGTTAAAAAAAAAAACAATCACTATTTTTTTATGAATAGGTAAAAACTAAAATTAACGTTTAAATTGATATATGTTTTTTGTATTTATATATATATATATATATATATATATATATATATATATATATATATATGTGTTTTTGAATAAAGAAATATTTGAAAAAACTTGTTTTCCGACGAAGTTTCCTCCTCTGATTTTATTTTGGGACAATAAAAAAAAAAGAAAAATGTTACTCATCAATATATATCAGGCTAAATGAAAAGTGTGCATAAATTATGGAGGATGCTAAGTGGCATAATTTAATAAACACAAGTGTGTAAATGTTTTATTCATTTTTTCGTTAATTAATGTGATTAGTATTTATATTGGGATTAATTTATGCATTATATATTTTAAATAAAAGGAGTTTATGAATTTTACCGTTCTTTTTTATTTTTTGACATTTTTATAGTAATGTATGTTGGCTTAGGAAAGGAGTATTTCTTTTAGGAAAGCAGTTTTTTGAAAAACATTCGTGACGCAAATTTGTTTTGGTAAGATTCGATAGCGGTATTCAAGAATTTTCCGTCTAAGTTTTTTTTATATATATATATATATATATATATATATATATATTTGTGTGTGATAAAGAACAAATGAAGTAAAAATCCAGTGTTCGTAGCATTTATTTTTTAAGAGTGGTCAATAGAAAGTAGAGCAATATATATATATATATATATATATATATATATATATATCTTGATTAAATTAAGGCAAAAACATTTTGAACTCGGTTACAATGTATGGTATTCATGATACAGAACTTTCTATATTTATTTTATATTAACATGAAAAAAACAATTTCGGAATCTCTCTAAAAATATTCCCAATACAAACAAACGGATTATAAACTAATTCTGAAGATTAAGGATGCAACTGATGTCACTCGCTTCAAAACCAAAGAAAAAATTAAAATTAAAAGGTAAAAGGAATAACCCTGCGAAGTTTCAAACAATTAAGCCATTATTTGCAGTTCTATGGGATTTTAAAGTTGGCCGGCACAAAAAGCCAACAGCGCCTCCCAATAGAAACAAACGGGATTATTTTGAAATCCAAAGTAATCTGCCGCAATCAAGGTTAAACTTATTTTACATTTTTAAAAAAAATCATTTCTTTATAGAGCAGGCTTACGACCACATCACATTGGAACACCGGTTCCCGTATGATCACAGAAGTTGAGCAACGTCGAGCCTAGTCAGTACCTAGATGGGTGACCGCTTGGGAATACCAGGTGCTGTAAGCTTGGATGTGCGGGTGATGTAATTAATAATGGCCCGGAGTTGTTAATCAAAGAGTCAACTTCTAATTCAGGTTGGGTGCGTTATATTCATTTACGTACAAATAACTCTGGGAAAGGTATGAATCTACCTCTTCTCCCCCAGCTATGGATTAATTAGTAAGACTTGGATCAGTAAATTATTATTATCTAAAAAAAAAAATTCTTACAGTTAAAAAATATTTTCTGGCTTTGAATAACATGCGAAGGGTTGGTAAGCTTTAAAATCGAACCAATCGACCTTTTATAGAGTCAATTGCAACAGAAGTGTTCTTTAATAAAATATATATATATATATATATATATATATTTCTTTCTAGTGGTATTTTTTTTTGTTTTTTTTGTTTTTTTGCTATATCACTTGTGTGGTCTGTCACATAGAGATAGGCCATTCTCAGTTTTGCGTGCATTCCTGGTCGCATAACAATGTGTTACTCTCATCGATTTCAGGAATTGAGTGACTAACGGTTCAGTCTTCAAACTGAGCCACGAGGCTAGAAAAAATCGACCTATACCGGATGAAAGTGAATGCAACGACCCTTGCCGGAACTAATGTGGATAAATATATATAGTTTATATTTGTGGATAGACGTATATGACGCATTTCCAAAAATCAGTACTCTAATGTTTGGTCATTGAAAAACTGATTTTGGTGAAGAACTTTTCAGCGCCTCCTCAGATAAGAGATGGATAAGGATATGACTGAAAAAAAATCATCTACTGAAAATTACACTTTTCCTATTGGCATCCTTTTGGCGGTGTGCCAAAGACAAATATACAGCAAGTGTTCGGACACCAAAGGGACATTGTTTTCATGCCCGCCATCTTGTGGCTTATCTCACGTCTTGCGCTGCCTCGAACTATAAAGATTGTGTATTTTCGTTTTAAAAAATACAAACAACCTGTTGGCGTGAATGTACTGAAAAGTTCACGGCCGAAAAATTGGCCAATCATCTGAACTATATATATATATATATATATATATAATATATATATATATAAATTCCATGTGAATCCTAATAATATAAAATATTACAAGTGATCCACAAAAAGAAGCTCAGTATATTTATTATAGAGCACAGAAATTAATTGCATAAAAATTAAACTCTATTGTACCCCATTTATATGGCCATTTCGCTCCTCGAGAGATTTCTCTCTTCAAGAAATTCCCTGGAGCTTGTCAATACTAAAATGTTTGATTTAAAAAAAAAAAAAAAAACACAATCAAACGTTTTAGTATTGACAACACTCCAAAAGAAATTCTCGAGGAACAAATCAGTCCCACATAAATGGGATACATCCAAATGAAAATTTTTTTATTTTTTTTAATCGGTATCATCCGAAGCAAGGCAGTAGAGCTACTAACAAGCAAAGTTACAGGGTGTGGGGGAATTAGGAACAGAAACATTAGTAATGAGGAGAAAGAGCAATCAGGAGGACTGTAGATAGCAATTGACATTGCATTTAAATTTTTGCAGATTAAAGTTGTCGGAAAAGCATGGAGCCAGGAGGAAGTTCCACAAACAAGAAGTGCAAGATAAGAAACTGTTAGCATTGAAGTTCGGCTACATCTAGCTAGCTTAACTGTAAATTGATGTGATCTCACCGCCAGTCTAGTATTGCGCTTAAATTCATACATTCGAAGTACCATAGCGAAGAGCTTATTCGAACTGTTACCATGTAAGTATTTATAAAAACGGCACAGACAGGCAACCTTACGGCAATGGGCAAGTGACTATGATTAACAGAAAATGTGTAGTATCTATTCATTTGCATTAACATTTCCAAAATGGTGTTTGGGCGCGATTTTTCTTCGACATGGACAGTAGAATAAGAATAATTCTCTCTAAATTAAATAAAGCATTCAGTTTGAAATTCTTTGAAGGTTACACGGATTGACAGATACTTGAAACATTGGTAATAACAAAGATGAAGATATTAATCCGAATACAAATAAGTCACCCAGTACAACTCCTTTCTAGGTTTCCAGGAAGGGAATTGGGATCACAAATTGACAAATTCAAACAAGATTGCCAGTCTTCCTACAAAGTTCATTACCTTTTTTGAGTCACCCCATTTTGGAATCGGATAAATACTATTCTGAAATATGATTAAAAAAAAAAGTGCATGGGTCAGTGGGTGGGGATGGCCAGTGCTATATATGAGAAAGAAAGAAACTAGAAGATAGTCAGGTAAATGATAGCTGAACAGATGATTCCAGAGTACAAATAAAATGATAGCTCTCTTCATGGGTGGGGGTTGAAAAGTAAACTTCAACGGCTGTGGCATTCCCTTGTGGTGGGAACGAGAGAAGTAGGGAAAAAATAAACACGTCATTTGGGCTATACTACCCAATCTCCTGTCTGTAATACAACCCAGCTTTTCTCCTGTTCATTACTCTCAGACTTTGCAGTTCCAAAATCTTGCAGGTTTTATTACACTCTCAAAGAATTTACCCTACACTGACCCTGATCACAGAGAAGTATATAAGAGGCCCTCCCTTATGACAAGATGTAACAGTATATGAAAGGGAGCTCCCTCGGATTTGTGGCGTGATAACCAACACCTATGCCCCGCTTGTATCCACCTACTTGAATATCAACACTTTCCGCATGTTACTCTCTGTCTCTTTTTTTTTCTCTCTCTCTCTCTCTCTATCAATCTCTCTTTCGATCGAATTCTGCTCAACTTTTATTCTTGGTTCATTTGGGTTCTGCCTTTATCCATATCACTGAACATCTAACGAGTTGATTACATGAATGAGTCAGTTTCATCCACCCACTGCTGTTCCAGCACTACAAGCTTCTGCTCCTCATTTCCAGTACTGATGTCAATAGATCCCTTCAAACCCTCACATCTCATCCCAGGATCTTCCTGCTCCCATTTTTGGAAAAAATAAAAAAAAATTCTGAGTCATGCTATACTAAAGCTGGAGAAAGTGATTGAAAATTGTCCAGGTTTTTTTCCCTTTCATCTCTTACTCTTCCCTCTCCCTTTCGCCTCTTCCCTCTCTGTGCCTCTTTCTTTCATCTCTTTTTCTCTCTCTGTGCCTCTTTCTTTCATCTCTTTTTCTCTCTCTGTGCCTCTTTCTCTTTCATCTCTTTTTCTCTCTCTGTGCTTCTCTCTCTTTCATCTCTTTTTCTCTCTCTCCGTGCTTCTCTCTCTTTCATCTCTCCGTGCTTCTCTCTCTTTCATCTCTCCGTGCTTCTCTCTCTTTCATCTCTCCGTGCTTCTCTCTCTTTCATCTCTCCGTGCTTCTCTCTTTCTTTCTCTCTTTCTCTCTTTCATCTCTCTTCTTCTCTTTCATCTCTCCGTGCTTCTCTCTCTTTCATCTCTCCGTGCTTCTCTCTCTTTCATCTCTCTGTGCTCCTCGTTCTCTCTTTCTTTCTCTCTCTGTGCTTCTCTCTCTTTCATCTCTCTGTGCTCCTCGTTCTCTCTTTCTTTCTCTCTCTGTGCTTCTCTCTTTCATCTGTAAATATGGCTTCATCATTGGTAATTTATTAAGCTCCATTAAGTCTAATCCCAAGACACAAGTATGTAGCACCTAGTGTGGCTCAAACTCTCGACATAGTAGCTGAGATCTTCCAGAATAGCTTGTTAATTTGAAAATTGTTAAAAACGAATAAAAGCATACTGAACTGCTATGTAATATTGTTGTGGCTTGGTTAGGGCCAGAAATAAAGGCACAAAGAGAGGAATTGAGTTAAACAAATATATTAACAGAAACAGTAATACAAACGAGAGTGTTACAGCAAGAATGTTAGGTCTATCAGATTTGACTGCTGGAAACTTCCCTCTCCAAAAGGCAGTACCTGCTCCTATTTATAGCTGGGAGAGTCAATGTGTGCATGGGTAAATTACCATAACAAATATCAATCCTCCTATATGGCTGTGAATACTGGGCAATTTCCTCACAGATGAAGAGATTTGCGGCAACAGATGTGGTTCTACAGAGCGATGCTGAGAATATTAGGAACTGAACTTATGAGTAACAAGGAAGATTTAAGGAAACTTGTAGCAAAAAGGAGACTTAGAATCAGAGGGAATTGAAATTTCTAGGATAAATAATGAGGAAAGATGGCTTTAAGTATTTGACATTGAAAGCAAGAGGAACAGAGGGAAAATAAACAGTAACCTACTTGACATGCTTGTGTAAATAAATGGCTGAACAGTGATTAGCAAGGATAATAAAAAGATAAACCTTACCAAGCACTACAAAAGGTAGGAAGCTATGGAGAGCTATCCAGCAGGAATATGGTATACAGAAGAGGTGAAAACCATGTTAAATAGAACACATGTAACATCTTCGTTTGGGGAAGAGGTGCAGGAGGTTTGAATAATCTGCATTTCAACCTTTGGATTAGTTTTCATCATATACAGGTGATAAATTTTCAGAAATCAAGCCATATAATTATTATCAATGTGTATTTATTTATATACTTCCTGTCTCATTTGTAATGGGAAGGGAGTTAAATTAAATTTAGCAAACTTATAAAGGATTACTTTCCTTTGTCATTTTAATAGTCAATACAAATAAAATATTTATCTGCATTTAAATAACATCAATTCCTGAGCAAAACAAATAATTAGTTCCTTTGCACCTACATTTTTTTTAGATTGCTGTCTTATTTGTTCAAGCATTTCATGTGAGGCACTCAGATACTTTTGTCTATTAAGTGACTGTCTTGCTTCCAACTTGGACTTGAAATAGGCTTTGCCGTTCTGTTAATCTCTCTTTCTTTCAAGAGATATTTCCATTTTATATTAAACATGTAAATTTTTTAACATTAAAAATATTGAGCAAAAAACGATTTATATAATACTGTGTGTATGGATTTTTTTCATACTCTTCTACATCAAAGGAGATCCAATTGAAATTGGTCCCATTTTTTTTTTTTTTTTTTTTTTTTTAATAATAGAAAGCATCAACTAATATCAATAACTCCCCACCCCTACAAAGGGATCAAAATAACTTTGTAGATCTAAGTAGGCTGTAAATATTGGAGTAAGAAAATGTGGCTAATATTGTTAAGACTTCACTGTTTTGTTCCCATTAAATCTCAAATATCCTTTTTTCTTCTTTTACTTCTTCACTCTTTAAATCCAATATTGACAACACCCAAGTACAATAGGTCTTTTAAGTGTCATATATAAAGTGGATCAGGGTGGACGCAAATTGCAGGACATGAGAAAATAGGTATTTTTTTTATTTATTTATTGTTTTTTTTTTGTTTTTTGGTTTTTTTTTTTTTTTTGGTTTTTTTTTTGCTTCAAATGCATGCTGTCATTGAAGAGTTTGATGTAAATCAAAAACAGCATTTCTCTTGGCATTTGTTTTTAATTGATTTAGCCCAAGCAAGGCAGTAAAGCCACTAAGACACCAGGGGTTGCTGGGTATGGAAGAATTATAAACAAAAAAAATTGTTAAAGAGTGAGAACAAAAGAGCAATCAAGAGGACAGTAGATAGTAATTGACATTGCATTTAAATTTTTGCCAATTAAAGTTGGCTGGCAAGCACGGAGACAGAAGAGATTTCCACAAGTGGAAAGTGTGAGAAAAGAAAGTGTTAGCATAGAATTTACAGCTACACCTAGCCAACTCAACTTGATGAGATCTTGTCTCCAGTCTAGTATTGTGCTTAAATTCAAATACTCTAGTCACCGTGGCGAAGAGTTGATCTGAACAATTACCATGAAAGTATTTAAAGAAAAAGCACAGGAGTGTGGGGGGGGGGAATAAATGTAATTGTTAAAATACAGTGTCATTATTTTATTAAAATAATCATTTTAGTGGCAGTCAGTTGAGGGAATTTGAGAAAAGATTATCTACAATTACCACATTAGAAGCAGACTAACTTTAGTTAAAATGAAATCCTTACAGGTTTACCTTTCAGAAAATATATGCTTTATATTTCTCTTGTGATATTACAAGTTGCAGAGCATTGAAATTAAAAAGACAAGAGAAAGGGTGAAGAGGATCACTGACATAATAGAAAACCATTTGTAGCCTTTTAGATTCTTTTGGGATATTTATCCATTGTCTTCATTAAGATAGAGCCTGAAAAACGTCGATAGTTATTCATGGTGTTTTGCTCAGGCGCATAAGCCTTTCAAAAGGTTAGTGTCTATGTCATCTCTGTAGTGCCAAATGCACTTACTGCCAGTTTTAAACAAATTAAATATATAAATTAAATTTCAACTATATTTTTTCTCTCTTTAAATCTAATATTGACAACACCTAAGAACAGTGATGGTCAGTAGATAAAATTTTATAAAAGTTTATTCAAAATACCACAATAGAAGCAGAATGATTTTAGTAAAAATAAAATTTGTCAAAATTTACTTTTCAGTCCAGTATATACTTTATATGTTTCTCTTGTGACATTACACCTTGCAGGGCATCAGAGAAAAATATTTTCTTTTTTTTTCTACTTCTTTTGAAGGACTGAATAATAATAGAAAGTGATCTATAGAATAAATTAATGTGTTTTTATTGGGGTTTTTTCTTTGTCTTCATTAAAACCAAACCTAAGAGTAGATTAAGTTATGCCATCTTGTTCAGACATTTATTTCTTCAAAAAGTTTAGTTTCTATATCACTTCTGCAGTGCCAAATTCACTTACTCCATATTTTAAAAATTACATTTATAACAAGCATTCAGCCAATTGGCAATTTAGCCGTAATTTTTCAACCACTAATGATCATTTTTTTCAATTTTATTTTTTAATTTTTTTCTAGAAATTTTATTAATTTTTTTTTTTTTTTTTTTTTTAGATACTTTTTTATTCATTTATTTTTTCGAGATACTTTTTTTATTCATTTTTTTTTTTTCTAGATTTTTTTTTTTTTTTTTTTTTAATTCATTTATTTTTTTTCTAAATATCTCTTTTTTTTTATTCATTTATTTTTACTAATTTTTTTTTTTTTTATTCATTTTTCTCAAATATAAATTTGCCCATCCAAGGAAAATAAATTTTTAAAGTTCTTTTTCTCATGGTTGCACACTGTGTCCATATTCTGAACATCATTTCCCCCTTTGGCTCTATTATTAAATAAAATTTGACCAAGGATCCAGTGGGGAACCCATGCACATAACCTTTTAATTATACTTTTTTCTTCTATTGACATTTCAATTTGATTGAAGTTGCCAGAATATCCAGTACTTTTTTTATTAAAATGACTTTATTATGATTCCTTAACTTTTTTCTTATTTAACCTGATATCTCAGTTTTAGTCACTTTCCCACTGCTGTGATGTAACTATACTGTGCCTTTCTTATAAATATTTCCACTGAAAATGTTCTAATGTGCTTTCCTCTTTGGCACCTCAACTTGACAAATATAAGCACAGTATTAGATTGCTCCTCAAAAATGAAGAGACTTGAAGCAACAGAAATGCTTCTACAGAAAGATGCTAAGGATACCATGGACCAAACGTATGAGCAACAAGTGAGGTTTTAGAGAAAATAAAAATGTAAAGGATACCTATGCTTAACATCAGGAAGCAGTTGTTGAAATTTCTGGGGTATTTAATGTGGAAGGAGGACTTGGAAAATCTGGTACTCACAGGACAGATTGAGAGAAAAAGGGACAGAAGAAAAAGCATGTAACTTAATCGGTAGGCTTGAGTAAATGGATGGAGGAACAAGGTTGGGGGGAAAAAATGGAAAAAAGACCAAATTTATTAAAAGCTACAAAGGTCAGGAAAATGTGGAAAGTCAAAGTTTATTATGCCCTCATGAGATATGCCATATAAAGATGACGACTGGATTGGCAACTCTCATTTTACAGTTGAAATGGCTAGATGTAACTATAAGTTCTATACTAAGTTTCTTTTCTCACACTTCTTGCTTGTGGGCCTCTGTTCTTGTTTCTTGCTTTTATTTTAACTTTGCATTTAAAGTTTTGATGATCAGTGTCAATTATTAACTTCTGTTTTTTTTGGGGTTTTTTTTGTTTAACACTTTCATTACTGTTTTTCTTTTTCTCGTATTCTTTCACACTTGATAACCCCTTGCATTTTAGTGGCTTTATTACTTTGCTAGGCGGGAAATGATTAAAATTAAATTTGTATTATTTACACATGGACTGTTGTCCTCATCTTTTGTTGTTACTATCACAACATTTCAACTGTTGTACACTCCAGCCTTTTTCCATTGCTTGTCGTTCCCGGTAACCTACAGGGAAATTCGAACTGAACCCTTCATTTAATCTACAGGGGTAATTTGTTCTCATTCCACTGCCCATATCTAGGGATATCTCATCTAATTCTTATTTTTCATAATGCTCGGTTATTGCTCATCGCATTTCCATTTGATCCACATTGTCTACACCTAAGTAATGATAACTCCTAATCTCAGAAATACGGATGGAAATTATTGGTTTATATTTTAGAGAAAAAAAAAACAGCAAAACCTTATATAAAGGGTGTCCCTAAAGTCTGGACACACAAGCAAAAATACTTCTTTTTTTTTTTTCTTTTTCTTTTTTTTTTTTTCAAGCTAGTAAATTTTCTAATTTTATTGAATTAGAACATCTTGAATATGACTTCCATCATTTGTGATGAAAAGGTTGATGCACTTTGCAAGATTCATGCGAACTCAATGCACTAACTGTACATTGCTGTCAATTTTAACATATTCATTCTTTATGCATTCAATCAAGTATGTTGCATCTGTGATTTTCATTGAGTACACCTTCTCCTTTAGTATACTCCAGAAAAAGAAGTTTATTCTTTTTCTTTTGTCAAAACCATGTTTAATTTGTGGAGGTAAAAAAAATATTGTTAATGAGATTTCATGTGTGTCCGGACTTTACAGAAACCCAGTATTTTGTCAGCATTATAATGAATTTCTTTTTTTTTTTGTTATTGCAGCCAACTGGTTTCATGAGTTCTTCCATTCCTTACTCTTCAATTGAAGACATCCATACAGTTTCCCGGTGGGATGCTGGTCATAAATTTTGTATTCGGATCACAGTTCAAGAAGGATCAGTACTACTCCAGGTAAGTAAAAAAACTGGACAATTTCATCATCATCATCATCCACCCAAAAAAAAAAAAAAGTGCTTACAGCCATATCCTAGCAATGTCAAGTTTGGTCAGTACCTAGATGATTGATCTCTTGGAAATACCAGATGCTGTAGGCTTGAGTGTACAGATGGTGTAGTGGATAACAGCTCAGAATTGGAAATCAAAGAGCCAAGTTCCAATTCCAGTTGGGTTTGTTATATTCACTTGCAATTACCCTTGGGAAAAGTATGAATCCACCTCTTCTTCCCCCAGCTATGGGTTAATTAGTAGGACTTCTATCAGTAAATTATTATTATATAAAAAAAATTCTTAAAATCTAAAAATATTTTTTGGTTTTAAATAACCTGCAAAAGGTTGATAAGATGTAAAAAAAAAAAAAAAAAGCCCCCCCTCAAAAAAAAACAAATCAATAAATCAAACCAAAAAAGAAATCCAGAATAATCTGCATCAGTGGTGGCCATTTTTCTTTGGGTTTTGTGACACAAGGAATAAATGTTCAGAATTCCAAATTATGTAGAAAGCAACAGGTAACCATGCCATTATCTTTCCCAAAAAGACAGAAGCTTTGGACAGTCATGATCACCTTTGTACTTCTGAAGGGATATGGCATTTAAAAATGTTATTTATTATATATATATTCCTTTGTAACAAATGTATACAATATTATAGGGAGACACAGTGGAGTAGTGGATAATGACTCGGATTGAGGAATTGGAGAGCAGAGTTTGAATTCCATTACATTCACTTGCGTGCTAATACCCTTGGGAAAGGTATGAATCCTCCTCTTCTCTCTTCTCAGTAAATAGCAGGAGATACTGGGTACTATAGCCTTGGGTGGCAACTGGTCTGCTGCAGAAAGAAATGGCAACCTACTGCAGGGGAAAAAAATCTGCCTCATCAGTCATGTATCAAAAGATACCTGGTCACCTAAGTGCGTATCATGCATGGCACATAACTGACTGATAGAATATTATGGTTTTGAAAAAAAAAAATCACAAAGAAAACTAGATTTTAAAATTTAACAAGATGCTTATGAGTATTTAGATTGGAGCTCTTAATCAGGCTTGTGGACTGAACTAATAATGGTAAAGTAGCATGGAGTCTTTAAGAAAATCAATGCCATGTATAAAAAAATTTCTTGGTTAAGCTTTTAGGAAATAGAGACAAAGAAATTTGATTGGCTGAGTCAAGAGTTGGGAAGAGATGTAAATTTTGGTGGATAATTAAAATACTGTGTTTTATTAGGTCCTTCATTCTAAAGTTCAGCTGCTCACCCACAGGCAATGTACTCAAAAAGCAAAGAGGCATGAACTGTTATGTTGAAATGGAATCAAAAGTCTGCAGGTTATGAAATTATATCTTTTTCTCTGCATGCACTGGCTCCTTAAGGATGGTTTCTGTTAGTTTAACCCAGCTGTGTCTGTTATATCAGATGATAGAGAAACCTTTCCGTTTTAATTTTCATGTAAAAGATACTGATTTTCACTGCTTTCTGTTTTTTATAACCTTGATAGAAATTATTTTTGCCTAGTTTTTCTTTCATCTTACTTCCATTGCCTTCTTATTGATTATTTTAGATTCTACAACTATTAGCTAGAGTCCTAAATAATTAAGGTTTTCCTTTATCAAATTTATTCTTAAAAAAAAAAAAACACTTTATTCCATTATACAGAGTGCGGCAGAAATATCTCCCACATAATGGTAAGACATCGGTGGTAATGGTGTCTTCATCTGACTAATGTCTTACTATTTTGTGGGTGGTATTTCTGTCACAAGCGGTATTAGTTTCTATTGGCCATAAAATGGTTGATCGATGTTCTATTTTTATTAAGTAATAAAGTGATCCCTCACTTGAATTACTACATATTAATATAGTAACTGGAAAAATATATTGAAGGACTCACATATGAAAACATTTTAATAATATGTTGTCATTTTCGAAGGTCTGGGTAAACTATTTTGTGTGTGGCAGAACTACCTCCCAAAATATACCTCTCAGAAATACCTCCTCCATAATAGTAAACATTAGTGACAACAGTGTCTTCATCTAGCTAATGTCTTACCATTATGTTGGAGGTAATTCTGTCATGTCTTCTATATTCACCATTATTTGCAATGATTTGTTGATGCTTATCAAGCAGCTCTTCAATACCTTTTTAAGTAAAATTCCACAGGTTTTGACATGAAAAACGTTTCGACAAACTCTTGAATTTGGTTTTCAACAGCAAATGTTTACTCCAGGAAAGTTTTATTTGGGGAGCTATTGAAGAAAGGTTCATTCTCCAGTTTGTATTTCCCCCCACCCCATTGTGAGCTCTGTTATATCCATGATATAATAACACCTTACTTCATGAACAGAACAGTAGAGCTGAAAGAAAAAGAAAGACAAACATGCTTTGTTCTCAGTGAGAGTTTTATAATGCTACATCATACACAAAATTATATATACATGTGTCACACACAGAGAAAATATAACACATATATACACAGCAAGCAAAAGCAAGTGAAAGAAAAATAATACAAGTCCTTAGATATATGAAGATTCTTCTGTGTTTCTGGAGAAACCATGTTTAGGACTCCAGATTCAAGCATGCTGTATTCATCTGCCCCAAGCAAGGACATATTCTGCCAACGAGAAATGACAAGTCTTGGGTTTTCCCAAATTGATAACTGCAAACCAGAGATAGTTTCTTTCTATATCTGGGTAAGATATATTCCCAAAGAGGAAACTGTCATAGACTTGCAAGCTATGTTGTGTGCTGGAAGAGGCAGATTTAGCTTCAGTCTGGGCCAAGGGGTCTGGGCTAAAAAAGCAACCACTTGGTTTACCTCCTGTAAATCGACTGCCACTTTCCCTTACTGTATGGAGAGACATCATTAAGCTGCTGTCACATGACCCATGTGACTTATCTCTACCAAAGGGAAATAATCACCTTGTGAAAACCCTCCGGAAATGTATTTTGCAGCGATCAAAAAGGTAACAATTGGTTTAAGCAAGGTTTGACAAATATGGTGGGTGGATTAGAAGAGTCCACCTGAGTTCTTAAATAATTTCCTGTGTTATTCTTACTGTATGCAGCCTTGTGTCATCATGGAGGTAAACAACATTGTTCCTTCCATCCACTGTACATGCTGCCACTGCTGTATATAAATTAAGATATGTTAGTTAGTGTATGTCAAATTTATTCTTAACTGTCGGGTATGATTAGCAGTCACAATGATATATTCAACATTAAAATTTGCTTCCAAGAATGGAAATTATTTATAATTCAACTTAATATTAAGTAAAGTGTCGGAGATTTACAAGGCTCGAGAGACTTTCAAGATAGAAAGTTGCTGTTAAAATGTTTATGATGAATGAGGTGTGTGATATGAATGAAATAGCAGATGGTAGGAAGTGAAGACTGAGGATAGGAAGGACAGATAACAATTGTCTCCTGACTTTCAATTGTAGTGTTCAGGTAAGCATCCATGTGGGAGTCTGTTACACAAAGGAGTAATTCTTGGGTGGAAAAAGCTGTTTCTTACATTGGAAATACGGGGAAAATGATGGTGATTCATCTCTTCAGAAGTATCATGGCATGTCCCGGTTGTAAAGGTCTAAACTAGTCAGAAATAACAAGCCTTCAATGAGATTTGAACCTGTCTTGTATTCATCGGAATCTGTCAGATAACAACGGCACCTTACCTATTAGGTCATCGAAATTCATAAGGAGGCAAAATTAAAATTTAGTCATTTTCTTTGTGCCAATTTTTGTTTATACCTCGTCGTCGTAGTAGTAGTAGCAGCAGCAGCATGTCTCAGTTGTGCAAGTTTTTTTAGATGAAGCATTATCAATTACTCACTTCCTTTTTGTATTTTATTCTTATTTTGAAATGCCCTCATCAGGTTATTTTTATATTCTGTCCATGTCTATCTGTTTATTGTCCATGTTGGATAGGCTCCCTCTTTATTTTGAAGCCATTCAACTTCCTCAAAATAAATATAGCAACCTTGGAAAGTGCTATAAAAAGTAACAAAAATAAACAATTATTTTTATGTAAGAAAGTTAGTATTTTGTTTCTTCTTTTGACTCTCTTACCTCTCTCTTTCCATTTTACTCTCGTTTCTCCCTTCTTTTTTTTTTTTACTCTCGTTTCTCCCCTCTTTCCTTTTTTTTTTTACTCTCGTTTCTCCCCTCTTTCCTTTTTTTTTTACTCTCGTTTCTCCCCTCTTTCCTTTTTTTTACTCTCGTTTCTCCCCTCTTTCCTTTTTTTTACTCTCGTTTCTCCCCTCTTTTTACTCTCGTTTTTCCTAACTCTCGCCTGGGTGTTAATTTCCTTCTCTTTGACTTAAAAAAATTGAAAAATTATCGCTCGCATTTCAGCCGCGCTCAACATGTGAAGGCTCGAAATGAACCGTCCCTACTAAGATTCAGAAAACGCATAAATAAAATGCATCTGAAGCATTCAGATAAATTAACAACACTCCATAATAAACTCCCTTGAAAATGGTTAAAGAAGTGGCCGAAAGCGTTTGGGACAGTGGATAATACTGACAATTCTTGGACTCCCTTGCTCCACAAAACGAAAATAAATATAAATATATATATATATATATATATATATATATATATATATATGCTGGAAATACAAAACAAAGCAAAATAAAATATTAAATGTTTGTCTTTCAAATTCAACGGAACATGTAATAAATATACATACACACATATATATATATATATATATATATATATATATATATATATATATATATATATAGTTGTATATTTAGGCAGAAATCCTTCCTTTTATGCATGTTTCATTAAAAACGACAGACAAGGTACTACGGTTGAGCTTTTTATTTAATTTTTCTTGTGTTCTGGCAAGAGCTTTCTTTTCTGGACAAAGGGCGTGTAAGAACTGTCCGAATGTTTTATATTTCCGAGCGCTTTCGGCTATACCTTTAGCCATTATCAAGGATGATTCGATTATCAGCTTAGTAGAGTATGTGCGTTCTGTGTATGTTCAGTGTGTGTGTTCGTTTATATATGGGATCGGATTTCCTACATTTTTCAACCAATTTCAACAAAACTTCACTTTTTTTTGGCAGGTAGTGTTTCTTATTGTCTTGCACACTTTTTTCTTTATTTTTACATTCAGAATGCTTTAAAAATTCCATTTACAAGACAATTGTTTATGATAAAATTCTATTCAATCGGTAGACTCATAACGATTGAAAACAATGTTTTTGTTTGGGTTTGACCAATTCGTAAAAAAAAAAAAAAAAATTTAAAAAAACTAATTAAGACATGCGTGTCCGTCAACCTTACACAATAATCTTTGTCAATTTTATTTTTCAGTCTTTATTATGGTCGATACTTGATCTATCTCTTACTGTTACATCCCCGGGCAACGCCGGGCTCTCCTGCTATAGTATATACATATATACCTCTAATTAGGCGATATTATCCTGATTACAAAATTTACATTTTCTTTGGAGGAAATATAGAGGCATTTCAATCTCCGATCTCATTTAAACTCTCGTGTTAAAAGATAGAATTCATTCAAGTGTAATAGGAGTTTCGTTTTTGTTTGAACGTGTGCAAGACTTTTTTTTTTTCATTTCTTTCTGAGTTTTTTTCCCTTAAGAATTTCTTATGAAAATTTTAAAAAATTCAACCATGTATAAACAATTTTGTCTGTGTCCCGGAATATCAAACAAACCTCTTAATACGGCCAAAATGGAAGGCTTTCAAAAGCAAAGCAGTTCTCTGTTATAATATAAATTAATTTCTTTTCTTTTTTTTAATCTTTTATTTTTCCCCCATCCTTCTTCTCCCGGCCTGACTTATCCCCCCCACCTACCACCACCACCACCACCACATCCCCGGTTCTGCTGCTTCACTTTCACGCTTATTGCTTTCATTAAAAAAAAAAGCCTTCTCTCCATTCCGATCCTAAAACGTTATTACTTCTGAAAGAAGCTCCTCCTAGTGGCAGAATTCAACACTGAGTCACTGTCTGAGTATTCTCTTGAAAGGGGAAAAATTGCAATAGAAGTAGTAAGAACGTTATTAACGGACAAACGCTCCCAAAATCCACTCTTAATGTTTGCATGCTTCGATTTCCACATGTCTCAACTTGTGTATACTCCCTTATCCGTTCAAACTTCGTTTTGTATGGCACAAGTCATGATTATTAACTCATGCTAACTAATTCTGGTACAAGGACAAATTAGCGGGGGTTCCTAATGAAGATCAACCACTTCTTTTCTGCGCTCTAAGAGCTACAACGAACAGGAAATTGTCGGGAGCCATGATAGCTCGCGTTTTGAAGAGAAGATCTCTTCAAAACGCGAGCGATCAATTTCCTATCTTTTGTGGCTCTAAACAACATTTGGCTCTTTAACGTATAACACTCTGCATTATTCACTACTTTTCTATCCACTGCATTGTTTTACAAGGATCCTCTATTGCACTATTTAATTTGAGTCATTGTCATTTTCTGTTGCCATAGCAGGATATAACACAACTACAAAATTCGAACATTCATCCGAGACACTTGCAGTGGTAGGATAAAATGTTTGTTTTGCAAGCAAAATCACCTTCAGAATGTTGTAATATTGTCTCCGTTCTCCCCAACCCGCCTCTTGTTCATTCAGTATGTCCTGTGAGTGTTAAATTTTCCAAACCCTCTTTCCTAATTATGTGTCTCAGGAATTTCAACTCTCTTTCTGATTTTATGTATGTGTCCTTCTAGTTTCTTCAGAACTTCCCCCTTGTTTTTTCGTCAGTCCAACTATTAACATCATTACGCAGAACCACATCTGTCACGTCAAGTCTCTTACCTCATCTGTGAAGAAATTTTCCAGCGTTCACGGCCATATAAGAGGAGCAATATTACATACAGTTCATTACACTTTTCTTTTCTTTTTTTTATTATAAATACATTTTTCTGTTTTAAGACTTTGCTTAGCTTCTGAAAGGCAACTTTCGCTATTCCGATTCGCCTTTGGATCTTCGTCTTACGGCCACATCACGTTGAAATACCGGTTTCATTACGATTACTGAAGTTAAGCAACACTGAGCCTGGTCATTAACTGGATGGGTGACCGCTTGGGAATACCAGGCGCTCTAAGTTTGGATGTGCGAGTGATGTAATCGATAACGGCTCCGGATTGTTAATATGATATAATTTCGAAGAATGTATGACGAGAAGGATTTCGCTTGAAGGCATTGTTCAGACCTTGCTGAACCAGCAAAATTTCTTCGTGGCCGAGTGGGTTAAGGCATGTTGGATCTAACGGCGGTCTCCCTCTGCCCTGGGTCAAGGGTGCAAGTTCAAATCCTGCCGGGGAGCGGATATTATTCTTTCTCGAGTATTCAGGTTGGTAGACGAAAATAAATAAATAAAATGTTTAATAAATAAACAGATCGTCTTCTCAAATATGAGTATCCACTAAAATTAACGTCTAATGTTAATATATATATATATATATATATATATATATATATATATATATATATAGGTTAAAAGGGAAAAGAAAGCGTAACAAACACTGACTACAGTTTACATTGGAAAGTTATAGATACTCAACATTTAAATGTCAGTTTTGATGTTGTCTTCTATGTACAGTGTTCGTTCAGGATATAAGCGATCATGGTTCTCCACAATTTCCTACCCTTTGTAGTTCTTAATAAATTTTGTCTTTTAGCCATGTCTCTTAAATCCTGCTCCTCCATCCATTTACTCAAGCTCTCTAGATAGCTTATGCGTTCATTCGCTCTGTCCCTCTTGCCTTCAATATGTCTTGTGAGTATCAAATTTTCCAAGGCCTCTCTCCTCATTATGTCCACTAGAAATTTCAACCGTCTCTTCAGATGTATAAGTGTCCTTTTTGTTTTCATTTTCTCTAACACTTCGTCGTTGATCACATGTTCAGTCCATGTTATTCTGATCATCCTTCTGTAGGACCACATTTCTACCTAAATTTTAAGCTTCGCTCATCTCATTTAAAACGGTTAACATAATTTTTGCGTGAGATTATTACAGCATTATCTGTTTACCACAGCATATTTTTATGACCTGCCACAGATATATATATATATATATATATCTTTATAAATTTTGTTAGCGAAGGGATTTCGCCATTTTATATCATTAACTTTACTAATTTACTTTTTGTGTGAATGTTTCATTGTAATATAAATTGAACTGTAATACCATATTTGATTTTATATAAATTAGTAAAGTTAATGATATAAAATGGCGAAATCCCTTCGCTAACAAAATTTATAAAAATACATTTTATATATATATATATATATATATATATATATATTTTCACTCGGGTTTATTTGACTGTGTTCCAAAACAATGATCGCCGTTGTTAGAATCTGGATGTGTGAGTGATGTAATGGATAGCGACTCTCAATGAGAATTCAAACATCAGAGTTGGAATTCCAGTTGGAATCTGTTCCGTAGATTAAATTATGGATTCAGTTCAAAATTTTCTGAATGTTACCCAGATCGACAGACATCTGAAGAAGTAAATGTTGGGTGTAATTTTTGCATAGCTTATAGAATCTCTTAAATTAAAA